ATATAATGTAATATAATATATTTCATAAATCAAATATAACATACGTCTTCTCCCCCAAAAATTTATGTCTAATTTTCTTTGTTTCCATAGCAAGAATCAAAATCAAGTGAGCATGCAGGTAACTGAAAAATAGAATTGCAGAATGTGTGCGTTCAAGTGAACATTCAGTTTACAGAATGTGTGCATTCAAGTGAACACCTGCTCAAAAGAAGGCACTACCAAACACAAACATAAATAAGATGAACATGATTATAATATTTCTCATCAATATAAATGATATATTAATTTATTTATATCTAGATTTAAATCAATTTTATTCCATGCCAAAATGCTTTCTTCCCAAATGTTCACATACTACAATCTTCTACTGACCAAAATATTCGGGATCATTGACTGACCCCATAGACCAAGGGAGGATCACTGCAGCTGTGTTTAGTTCACGAATTTTAGGAATTTGGCTACTGTAGCACATTTGTTTTTATTTAGCAATTAGTGTTCAATCATGGGCTAATTAGGGTCAAAACGTTCGTCTCGCAATTTCCAATCAAACTGTGCAATTAGTTTTTTTTCATCTATATTTAATGCTCATGCACGTATCGTAAGATTTGATGTGATAGCTACTATAGCACTTTTTGAGAATTTATCTGGGAACTAAACAAGGCCTGTATATATCAGACATGCAGACGAGCTGCCATCTCTGTATCAGTTGCTAGTGTATACTTTGGCAGCATGTAATGAACCGTGTCAGAGTCCATGCCAGGCGCGACGGAAGGGATTTGGCACGCAATGCTCATCTCTCGTGCACACCCACACCCGATCCGCACGGTGTACCTCGGCTCGACGAGATCGCCTGGGGGCACGAGCTCTTGCCGTCGTCTCGCCAAGAGACGGCTTCTCCCTCTTTCTTCATTTATTGCGCTGGATGGAGGTGTTTTCTGCAATTTTGCCCTTGTTTAGTTGAGTGAATTTAGATTTTGGGGCTACCGTAGCATGTTCGTTTTTATTTGGCAAATAGTGTTTAAACATGGACTAATTAGGCTCAAAACGTTCGTCTCGCAATTTCCCACCAAACTGTGCAATTAGTTTTTATTTTCGTCTACATTTAATGTTCCATGCACGGGCCGCAAATATTCGATGTGACAGATACTGTAGCAGCTTTTTGGACTTTGAAGTCCAACTAAACGAGACATTTGTCATCATGGAGACGGCATCTCAAAGCCCGTTGTACGTGCCCTTATCTTATATTATAATGGAGAGGCTGGCAGGCTGATGCTCGACGAGGCGCTGGGTGGCAGCGGCGATCCTGGTGTTGCGGCCTGCAGAGCATCCAGCAGGCGCCCGCCTCCACCATGGGACGCGGCGCCGCTGGCTTTTGCGGGCTAGCCGCTTCTGGAACACGGGCACGGCTGGGATTAGCGGCGCGGGTCACCCAGCGGGATGACGGCGTAGCCCGCGCCGTTTGCATCCGTAGAGCGGATCGACCCGACCGATGCCTCTACGCTACGCGTGTACATTGCCAAACAAGGCGGGATCCGCGGCCCGCCCTCCGTTCCATTGCATGCGAATGCGATGATGCCTCTCCAGTCCTCCACCCTCAGCTTTGGCTGTGGGCCGGCCCCCACGCCCCACCTCTCTCCCTCGGCGCACCAAACCGGCTGAGCTGGATTAAAGCCGGCTGGTCGTTTTTGGCTGATTGGCTGTGAGAGAAAAATACTGTATCGACTGAAACGTGAACAGTGTTTTCTGTGGAGGAACCAGCCGAACGAAGCCCAAAGCGGAGGAAAGCAGGCGCCACCACACTCATTCCGCCGCGACGGTCGCTGCACGCTCCGTCCCCCACGCGTGCCGGCCGGTGCTGCTGCCCACACTCGCACTCGGATTCCGACCCTCCCTCCGTTCCCGGCCGGCATACCCAGGCGGTGGTGGTTCCCAACCTGGCAGTGCCAGTGCGACAGTGGCACGCACGCACCCTCTCCAAGGGCAACGGACGACGTACGAGGACGAGGGAGAGAGGACGATTCATGATGCAGCCTCACAATCATTGCCAGCAGGACAGGAGACAGACGCACGCACACTTGACGAGCAAGGCTCCTCTCCTCCAGCAGAGAAAGTGAGAAACCCCTTCTTCGCTGCTGTGCTGGACGTGCACGCAAAACAGTGCACGCTTGCTTCCAGGACTACTTGTGCAATAATAATATTAGAGTTAAATGCATGGATACCCCTGAACTTGTCAAGAGGGGTCAGTTAGGTCCACGAACTTTGAAAATGCATTTCTAGATCACTAAACTTGACAAGTGGTGCACCGCAGGTCCGTAGCAGCCACATGGGCATTTTATCCGACGTGGCATTGCCACTAGGATGCTGACTGTATTTGACACTTTGCATTTAAACCCTCAAAATTAATTCATCTATCTCACACTCACCTATCCTCCCTTACTTTTCTCATCTCCCTCCTCTCTCCATAGCTCCTCCCAGTTGCAGCACCGGTGACCCTCACCCAGTCACCCACCGTGGGAGTAGAGGCTGCGCAAGGGCACAGGCACACAGCTCCTCGCTCTAGCCTGCCCCCACATGAGCTGGCGACCCTGGCCGCACCGCCGCAGCGGCCGACGCCGACGGCCCTGGAGGTCCCTTCCCCTCGAGCCCTTCTGATCAAGAGACCGCAGCCCCTCGCGGTTCACTGCTGGGATGGGCCGCTGGTGGTGCATCGCGGGAAGCGTTGGTCGGCCTCACGTCTGCAAGATGCAGCATGTCTAGCATCGACCTGAGGGTGGAGAACCGGATGGCCCGCTCCGTGTCGCCCATTCAATTTCCGCAGGTGGGCAGCATCACGATAAGCGGGTCCTTGTCGCTGTCGTCTAACGAATCAACGGCGGTAGCCGGTGGGTCGTTCGTCGTCGAACACACCGATGATAAGCACCGTGCACAGGTCGTACACCAGCCACATTTACTGACCGTCGTTCCAGGCCGGCGATGGTGCACTTGCATGCCCAGTCATTTGCATGTTAGTGTCAGTGCGTCGAGTCACTAGGGGAAAACGTGGCTGTCAACTCGGAGGACCGGATGTGCATGTGTGTCGATGTGCACGCGCACGCATGAGTTCCGCCCATCAGGTTGTTGCTCGGCAGTACGTCACTGGGCTTTAAAGCCGTGTGGCTAGTAGTAGTAGTGTTTTCAGTAGAGTCAATACCGTTTGTTGCCACAGGCATTCATCGCCACAAAGTTCTTGTGTCAACTCCAAATTGCTGCTGTGTGCGTGTGTCGATCGACCTGCATCTAGCTTCTTGTGCGTCCTGTGTTCCAAGCCTCCTCTCTCGCGTGTGTGTGTTCGGTTCCAACAGTAGCTATCAGCGATGGTGCACATACGTGTCCACTTGGGTCCGTAATTGGCAATGGCGTATGCGTCAGTGCAACCCTTGCTGTCGGCCGTGCGCATCGACAGGAGGCCCTTGCATTCAACGATGCCTAGCTCCATGACGCCAAGGCATGGGAGCCACAACTGCTGTACCGACGAAAGTCGCTGCACGCGTAGGATCGCCGTCTCACTGGGGCGCAGGGGGAAGGGACAGTGCCGCCAGCGTCCGGCGCTGTGACGGTGTGACCACAGTCACCGGCTCACATGGGGCTGGAGCAGCAGTACGCCAGTACGGTGCTGCTGTCTCGCGAGGGGCTCGAGGGGAAACTGGGAAAGGGCAGGGCTGTCGACGTCGGCCGCTGTGGCGGCGCGGCCACGTTGCTGGCTCACTTGGGGACGGAGTGAGGAGCGGTGCCCTCGCACAACCTCTGCTCTCGTGCCGTGGGTGAGGGTCACTGGAACTCAAAACAGCTCTAGAGAGAGAGAGAGAGAGGGAGAGGGTGAGGAGGAAATATGGTAGGATGCGTGAGTGTGAGATAGATGAATTAATTTTGAGGGGTTAAATGTAAAGTGCCAAATACTGTCAGCGCCATAGTGGCAATGCCATGTTGGATAAAATGTCCATATGGCTAGTATAGACCTATGGTGTACTACTTGTCGAGTTTAGTGACTTAAAAATCTATTTTTAAAGTTCGTGGACCTAACTAACACCTCTTGATAAGTTCAGAGGCTGCCCATGCATTTAACTCGTAATACTACTCCTACTGGCGTACTAGCTATAACAGAACGCACACCAAACTAACCACCAAAGCAACATTATTCTGGGCAGGTCCCCGCCAAAGCAGGAGTATATTAGCCTGTTCGCAGCAAATCAGCAGTGTTTTCCTCTCACACCAAACCAGCACCATCCAACGATCAGGCCATATATCATTACAACGCGTATAAAGGCGTGGTAAAGCCATTCCACAAACAATACATACATATACTCTATAATGGTAGTGGTGGCATATGCAGCGGGTTTGATGAGAGAAAGTAACGCAGCAGCAGCAGATGATGAAAGGCGCAGCGCAGCGGCGGGCTGAAGTTGAGCTCCACATCAGGCACACAACACTTTGTTGGACCGGCTGGACCCGCGGGAACTCTACCACTACCACACGACCCAACCTCGAGCCATCTCCCCCCCTTATTCGCCTTTGGTAGTTGGGTCAAAAGCCATGGCAGAAACACCACAGCAGCGCGCTTTGCATGGAATGGACCTCCTTTCCTTTCCCCCACTCTGCTTTGGATCACGCTCAGCAAAAAATGTTTCTAGCTTTGCATAACATACAGATGTTGCTCCGACCCACGAGGGCCTTTTGAAGGTGAGTGATACAGGCAGGTACTACTGGGGCACCGACAGGGACTCACAGCTGGTATGAGAACATCCAAGCTCTGAGACAGAAAGATGGTGGTCGGCTAGCTTACTGGAGAGCAGCATAGGTGGATGGATCTTGTGGCCTCCAGGAGCGCTCAGGAAAACACGCATGCCTTGCTTCAGTTGAAGTGATACTGCAATGCTGCGTGCCAGTCATTGCCCACATCATTAGAGCCTTGTGGTGGGTACACGGGAAGCCAAGAAAGCACCATTGGACCTTTTCTTCTTCCGTTATTCACCTCTGGCGCGTCCTGAAGCACCAACCTGAGATATCTTTGGCATCTTCACCTTATTACCAAATGCTAGTACTTCATATATGTAGAGCAGCAGAAGCCAGTGGCTTCCAGAACCAAAAATCACAACTGTCCAGGAGCTAGAGGGAGACAGCTCCAGCGTCTTGACCTTCAGCTTCAGATACTGCAAGTAGCAGATTGCTTCATCAAGAACAGAGGTGGCGTCTTTGGCAATGCCCCCAGGGACGATATTCCTGAGCGCAGCAACAGTCTCTTGGATCCTCTCTCTTCTTCGCTTCTGATCATCAGGGCTGTCACCTTCTGCGGCTTCTACCTCCCCCAGAGAAAACTTGTGGTCGCTTTCCACTTCACCGACGCAGCATGACTGCGCATCACAGTCATTCACAAGAAGCTTCTGCTCAATGGAATGATCAGGCCTTGCTGAACTGGCGGTGTCAACAACAGACTTGTCAGTACAAGAGCTGAGCCTTCTCTTCTTGGCTGGCGGTGCAGAACCTGTGGCAGCACCAGCACTGGCCACTGACTCGACGCTCAGGGTGTCATTCTCTGCAGGAGATTGCCTCCTGACTCTTTCGAGTTCATGCAGTTTTTCACACCCTTCATCTGAATCAGAGTCCAGGAGTGCATTGATCTCATCTGTGTTCTCATGAATACCCTCAGTTTCCTCTGCTCCAACATCAGTTACATTAGTCTCGTTGCTACCTTGGAGCTCTGGCACAGGATCCAGTGGCCCCTTGCTCAGCAAAGGAGCTGCAATAGGAGCATGATTTTCCTTCTGGTAGAAAACTAGAGGTCTCTTACGTGAGGGATACAGTGCAGGTAACTCCAAACTTGGTGCCAATGTTGTGGCATATCTCGGAGCTATTGAACGAGGTCTCTCAGCAATTGATGCTGTGAAAAATGGCACAGGTGCAGCAGCTGTGCTCAGATATGGAGGCAATGCCACCGAATTGGCGTTAACAAGCCAAACATTAGGTGGGTGGAGATTGCCGGCAGAAACTTCAGTGTTGAATTTCCATGGAGGATTATGCCAATGGCACCAGGGATTAACCTTGTCCCCCATGAACAAATTAAACCACCGGACAGAACTACCTGAGATTACCAAGAAGAAACTGAACGTCAGTATATCAATATCAAATAGAAACAGGTAGTAGCAGAAACATGAGTGAAAGAATGATATTCTTACCAGCAGAAAGTTCAGATGAACGAGAAGTTCTCCCACTTCAATTGTGATGGAGAAAAACCTAAAGCAGCAAGTTTATTCAGCAGCAGATGGAGAGCCGAGAGAGAAGCTACGTCACGGGCTTCAGGAGATGGCGGAAGTACTCGGCCTACAGCAGATATACCAAAGCGATGTCAGGACCATCAAGTGAAGAAAGGAAATCCTTAACAAATGTTTGCTTTTTGCCTCATTACCTGGCAATTTTGCAGCAGCTGGAAGCAAGCAATAACTCTCACTGTGATTCCGTTCTCATGCTTAAACACGTGGAATCTCGTCTGAGCAGCTGCTTTCCACACCATTAGTACTCCACTCCGTTCTCCTCAAAAGTTTTGGCCAAACAACCACAACGGCCTAACAGCGACGCCAACGACTGGGTGGGGAGAAGATGTAAAGTGCCTTCACAAGCCTACAAATCAGGAGGCGTGCGAAGGAAGGAATGTCTCCGGTAGCCACGGAGACGATTTACAGAATCACACGGCAGTAAAGGTTCAAGGAGATCCCCCTGCGGAACACATCAACCAAAAGACAGCCACCGCATTCTGCCAAGGCTCTTGACGAGCAGACTGTGCTAGTGTCAAGTCTTCAATTCTTCTGATTGTTCCCCACCAGAGTTACCTGCGCGAAAGGAAACCCGGGTTCTTGATGAGTTTCCTTATACGGAAGGACACAACAATACTTTCATACGAAATGAAACTAAAGTGTGCTGGTATCAGATTTATGCTATGCAATCCGTTAGACTACTGCTGTCTACTAATCTACTGCATATGTGAGCCATTGAGAAAATGAGGCTAATTAACTGGATTTTGAGCAGTAATGTGCAACCATTCCAGGCCGGTCGAATTGACAGGCAGCTCCAAGATCCGGGTGGCCTTAGAGCGGAATACGATTGCATAAACTTCTAAACCCTTGCAGTAGCACAAGGGAAGGATTAATTAAGAGCAAAATTTACATTAGCACGCTTTTCCTCCAGTAGTCCCGTTGGACGCAGGATAAATAATAACTACCTAGTGCCAATAGTACATGTTGAAATGGTGGCGCAACACTCCCAAATTAGCCCAAAAATCAGTACTAAGCCTTGATAGAGCCGATTCTAACAACTGTGTAACAGATAGATGTGGCCATCTATGTAGAGCTGAAGCCGGAGCCCTTCCCATTATCTAAAAAATGTAGAGCTGAGAGGAAACCCAAAGTAAAATTGGGAGGAAGGGGCGCGGACGGAAGCCAATGCCTAAACCCACCAGTAACCACAGCATACATTTGCAAGAAAATCCCAAATCACTAAACCATTCATTCTTAAAGACGGCACCCACAAATTTGTTCCGGAATCTATCCTATCAGTATCGTGGCGACACCGCACTCAAAACCCCACACGAGCAGGCGAGCAGGCCACACAACTCACCAGATCGAACCCTCCGAGTTCGGAGACGAAGAAGCGGCGACAAGCTGGACGGAGGAGAAGGGGAAGAAAGAAAGCACGCGCGAGAGGAGACGGGGCTGCGACTGCGAGGCGGAGCGTGCGGTGTGCTCGCTCGCCTCGGAGTCGGAGGAGGAGTGAGTGGAGGCGTGCCGCGTCTCTGTGGGAGTGGCCGCGCGCGCTGGCTGTGGCCGCCTCACCACCTGCTCTGCTCACGAGAAAGAAGCAAGGAAAGGCGGAGGAGGAGGAGGCCAAGCAAGGGCGGCTGCGGGAGGCAGGGCAGGGCAGTGCATGTCTGCGTGTGGTCTGGAGGACTCTTATGGGCGGCCGTCAACGGAAATGCCCCTGCGGCGTGCTGGTATTTCCGCGCGTGCACTGTCCGGCTGTCCGAGTCATGCCACGGCAAGCCTGCCTGCCCGGTGGGGTGGCTTTTTGGTTTTGGATTTGGAGGCCACCCGGACGGACCCGCTGGCGCTGGGCTATCATTTCTCCCAGCTCCGGTATGACGCGAAAATCGTAGAAAATCCAGAATACCACAAACGGGCACGTCCGGCATACGATTAGTCACGCTTGAACGGGGTGTTTGGAAGCTTTACTCGCTGTCCTACCAGATATTTAAACATATACATAGAGTCAGAGGTGAATCCAAAGGGGTGGCTGTCGAGGCTACAACCCCTAGTTTGCCGAATTTATTCATGAGACCACGGTTATTTAGCCTTAAATTACTATTAATCTCTAACCCTAACCCTAAATCTTTATTATTTAGCCCCATTTGTTCCCATCTCTGCATCCGCCACTGCATAGAGTATTAAATATAGACTAATTATAAAACTAAATACACAGATTGAGATTAATTTGCGAGACGAATTTTTTAGCATAATCAGTCTATGATTTGACAATGTTGTGCTACAGTAAACATATGCTAATAATGGATTAATTATGCTTAATAAATTCGTCTCAGCAGATTACCGATGAATTTTGTAATTTGTTTTTTATTAGTATCCGAACACTTCTCGTGACTTCAGAAACACCACCGCTTAAACTCTAGTCTTGCATCCGAACACCCCCTGATTAGAAACGGTAACACATACTGTAGACGTTGTACTATTGGATGGACCGGCCACTTATCGGCGGCTGGAGCTGGTACGTATAGTAAATATAAATAAATGGTCACAGTTGGCCGTGCCTTGCTTCCCTTTAATTTATCTGACCTATTTGGTTTATATATATATATATATATATATATAGTCGTAGTCAAATTATCTGAATAGAACTGATGATCTAATAAGCGCTTATAAACTTTTGATCTTTATGTCTCTACTAGGAGAGTTATTTAATGAATATTCTCTTTGTATATTTCATGTGCCTTCAAGACTTTAATATATAGCTTCTTCAATTGTTCTTCTCTATACTCCAGTATTTATCATAATTTTCTTCATACAAAAAAAAATCATAAGAAAACTACCTTGTTGCATTTAGAGAGCCTTGTTAAGAAAACTACCACGGCTGCCGCCAGCTCAAGCGAGCAGGCCCATAGAGTGATTTAGAGAGTCTATTGCAACATATTTTTGTGGTTCATTTCCTAACTTTTTAAACTCCTAGCCTAGCTGTCATTGATTCAATTTTTTACTAACCTTGACTAAGATTAGTTGGTTATTTTCTTGGGTACAAAATTGTGACAAGGTCACAAGATTAATGTTACTCTTGTAGTTTCTTAGATTACTAGATTTAAGTCGGCACCTTTATGTTTCTAGTCATTTGACGACCTTCTGGTAAGTTTTATCTATGATAAAATTAAAATGACTTAGGGGTTTGTTTGATTCCCCACCTCAGCTTGCCATGCAATAGAAGCGCGCACCACAAGTTTTCTATGCATTGTTTGCTTGGAAACACAACTTAGGCAGCCATAGGTGATGCAGACCTTTTGCTCACAGTAATATCGCCACACTTTGTGGGGAATTCGTATGTACGCCACGCTCTTTGGCTCTGTGGCGAGCCACATTCTGCCGCACATGCGGCGTGGCTACCGATGCCCGGCATCCAAACATCCTCTTATAGTTTGAACCAAGGGTATGTATGTGAACCTTACCGCATGTTGTCACACATACGGAGACGCCTGTGAATTTAATTTATAAAGTTGGTGCACGATGGGCTAGTCATCATGTTTCTCCAATTCTTAAAGATAAAAAGAGAGTGTGGGAAAGAGATGCCGGCAACGGAATTCATTGCTTTTCTTTTCCTTTGGATTTGGAGGAGGAAGGTAGATTTGGTAGTGCTACTAGCTACTAGCTCTACTAGCTATAGGTAGGACTAGCAGTAGGATACGCATGCTGCATGGCATGAAGTCGGAGGCAAGTTGTTTGTGGGCTAGCTAGGGAGCACCAAACCGTCGGCACGCGCAATGGATACTTGCACAGATGTTGACGAGTTTGCAATACTCGCAAACATGATGTAAACGACCTGCCTTTTTGTACATGGCAAGCCACCTTCCAGCTCCAGGCATGATGCGTGTGCGTATGGCGATGGAATCTTTGATTGTGGGAGCATCCCTTAATTTTATCGTCATTTTACTCTTTATGTATAATCACAATGCATGTCTTGTTTTCCATAATTTACAAAGCTGGTGCACAGATTTTTTTTTTTTATTCGATGTTGCAATGATCTAGTGATAAATGAAAAAAAACATGTTAGTCTTGATTATTATGAAAACGTAAGTTATCGAAATAAAACATGTCCTCTTTTACTTAGCTTATATTATCAAAAAAAACTTAGCCTGTCATAAGGTAGACTTTTGAGGGAGCTGGTTTTAATTTGTCTAGCTGCTTTGGTTTCGTGTCGCTGTCAAGAAGAATGTAGCAGCTGACAAAGAGAGGATACGAAAGAATAAAGAGATATAAGAGACGAAAGAAAAGGCTGGGGTTGTGGAAAAAAAAAAGAATCACACACAGCACGCGTGCAGCCGTTTTTGGCAGGACCATGCATACATTTTGTTTTGTTTTGTATCCATGATCCATGCACGATGCATCCCTCTCCGATCCACTTGTCCCCGCGGCCCGGAGATGCACACTGGCCGCTGGGCCTGCCTGCAGGCATACATCGAGGCTCAATCCGCCTCCGGAGCCGAGCCAAATACTCCCTCCCTCCGCAAAAGAACGTAGCTATAGGATCTATGCCGGTCAAATAAGTTCAACTTTAATTAAATTTATAGTAAATAGTATTATCATTTATGTCTTTAAATAAATTTATTATAAAAATATATTTTATAACTAATCTAATGATACTTATTTTATATGATGATTGTTAGCCCCTCCATCCCAAATTGTAAGACGTTTGACTTTTTTGGCTCTAAGTTTGACCACTCGTTTTATTAAAAAAATTATGCAAATATAGTCAAATTTAAGTCATTCTTTAAGAATTTTTATTAATAAACCAAACCACAACGAAAGAAGTGATATTTTACATAAATTTTTGAATAAGACGAGTGGTCAAACTTGATGTTAAAAAAGTCAAACGTCTTACAATTTATGATGGATTGAGTAGTTTTTATATAAACTTAGTCAAAGTTCAAACTATTTGACTTCTCGAAAAAGAGAACTTGTGGACGCAAGTAGTATTACACTAGTACTCCTGGCAATTAGGCAGATCAAGAATTGTGGGATGCTGCTGCTGCCTGTGATGTGAGACGAGACGAATTGAAGACGACCGCCGAACTCGAAGCAGCTAGCATGGATGCATGTGTCCATGGCGATGCCATGCATGCACGCTCCCCCCACTGCTGGGTGCTGACTGCTCTGCGTGTCTGAGGCTCCGAGCAAAGTGATCGAAGTGAGCATGCATGCATGCACTGATAGTGAGTGAGCAGGGCATTCACCACTCAGCGAGGGA